GGATACGAACAGGTGTTATTTACGCAGCTCATTTACACACTTTTCCTGAAGATAGAAGATTTTGCTGAATCTGACGTGACATGTTCGTACGAACCCTTTGTACGAACAAAAGTAAGAGAAATTTAGGAGAAGAATACGAACATGTTCTTGCATGAGGGCCATTGTCATGGCCTGCAAATAGTCCGGATCTCAATCCAATTGAATATCTTTGGTGGAAATTATCAAGACTCCAACCTGCAAAGCTGATCTGGCAACAGCAATCAGAGAAAGTTGGAGCCAGATTGATGAAGAGTACTGTTTATCACTCCTTTAGTCCATGCCTCAGAGACTGCAAGCTGTTATAAAAGGTGGTGCAACAAAATACTAGTGTTGTTTTGTTTGTTTTTCATGATTCCATAATTTTTCCTCAGAACTGAGTGATTCCATAATTTTTTCCCTCCGTTTGGTCTAAAAAGTTAACCGTTACTGACTACCTCATTTTGAAATGACTTTAGTTTTGTGTCATGTCTTCTGCCTTTTTTTCCCCAACAAAATTAACATCCTCCAATGCCGATGAGTCCATAATTTTTGCGAGGGGTGTATATGCCAGTTTGCAGAGCTAGAAATTATGTTTCATTCAGACTTTTTCTGTCCTTGCGCCTGTGGCTGCACTATTTTAGCTTATACAGAGTTCAAGCGGTTTTTGTTTTTAATAGCTAAAAATGATGCTATTCCCATCTTCTTTTGTTTTTGACATCACAGGTGAAAAGGATTTTCAGATGCTTTTTGTTTGTCATTTGTGGCCAAAATATTGTTTCTTTTAAGGCGTTTAGGTGAACATAGGAAAAAAACATTTGTCGAAATACAAAGTAAAAACCATAAGGTCTAGCCTAATGATATTTAGCTTTTCCTAAAGAAGTAATTCCCAGGTCATACAACATGAATTTTTTTTGCCAAAACATTCAATCAAACTGTCTGTTGCTTTAAAGTTAGAAGAATTCAGCTGATAGGCCCCTACAGACACTCAGGCTAATAGTCTGTTTGTTTTAGCCTTCAAGCTAACTCTTTTTGATATCCCATTTGTTTTTGGCATTTATGCTAACAGTCTGTTCAACATGGCTTTAGATTTGATGTAACAACTGCCACGTCCTCCACAAGGACCCAGAAAATTGTTCACCATTGACACCATTTTCTTTTCTTGCAGCCTAAGTTTTAATTCTTCTGCAGTGTTTTCATGTAGTGTTCGAAAACAATTGTGTGATTGGTCAAAAATTTGAAGCGGAACAGCTTAATGTGAAAAAGTGGAAATGTTGGCTGCTTCTCAGCTGCAGTGGTTTGTACACAGAACTTTTGGTTTGATTTTCTTGTAAAGTTTGAAATATCCTGGCCTGAACGTTTTTCTTGTTTTTGCCACATTGAAAAAACTAAAACTAATTTCTCAGAGTGTGCAATATGCTTTTCAGTGGTATCAGACTTCTTGATTTACTCTCAACAAGAAAGCATATTTTTCCCAAAACTATTCCTTCAAAATTTTCAAATGGTTGTAACTGAACATAAATAGCAGACAATCTAATTAGTGACAGTTATAAGACAATATATATA